TTCTGCTCCCGTAAAGATTTACAGCCTCGGAAACCCTGTACAGGGTCGCTATGAGTTGATTCCGACTCCATGGCACATAACCACCACCACCATTGCTGAACTAAGAGTAACTTTCACAGCTGTTGTCTGCCTCTCAGGTATATGGCAGTTGGTATTGGTTCTTGCCTGGGTTTTGGCGTTTTATGGAGTGTGATTGTAGCTTGACTATATGGCAGCATTGCTGACTCTTCTTGGGTAATATATAGGGAGATAAAAAGTCACCCAAAGGTAGACGGGGAAGCAAAAGAGCCAAATAGCACCAGCAAAAAAAAACAAAACAAAAACAAAAACACAACAATCAAAACTAGACTGAATACTGCAGTCTATAATCACAGAAAAGGGACAAGAGGGAGAGAAGGGAAAAAAAAAAAATCTGTAGCCTAATATGGGTGTGACTTTAATGTCCTCTCTTTAGCTTCTTGCTTTCAAAGCTGCCTGAGAGATTTCAAGATTGGTTGTTATGCTATACCTCAGGCTTTAATTTAATTTTTGGCCTGTTTTGTTTTTAAACTCTCTTTCCTTCTCTACAACCCTGTGCTGCCCTTTCCCATATTTAAAAAAAAAAAGTTCAGGGCTTGCTCTTAGGCTGAGTATGTGTGCACATGCGTGGCAGAAGAATCCACCAGTAGTGAGGGTGGGGGGTGTCCACTCACTCAGGCTCCCCCTCTAGTCACCAGAATGGAGGTTCGCAAACAGTGGGGGTGCCAATGACCAGATACCAAAAAAAAAGAAAATCAGAGCAAAGCAAAACCGACAAAGTGTATTGTCCACCCTTGCTCCAAGGTTCCTGTGGTGTTTTTCCATGTGTTTCTGCTCCCCCCGCTTGGTCTTGCCATTTGGTCTTACCCAAGATGTCAGCTTCAGGCCTCCGAGACCAGCAGATTCAAAAGTACGCGATTTCTTATTTCAGCTTCAAGTTCTAATAGCTATAAGCCTTCACACTTTTTAAATATTCCTAGCTCTGTTGTTCCGAGTTTTTGGAGCTCTGCCCTGGATCTGCTTTGCCTGGTATTCCATGGTATGGCTGAGGCGAACTTCAGTGCACCTTCAGCCTAGCCGCCGCCATCAAG